TGCTTGCTTCGTGTGCGAGCTCATTTATGAAATGTCCTGTCCCCGTGAGAATAATTCGTCCCCCAGAGAGCAAACCAGCCGGAGAGCCTGGGAAGGAGCTCTCGCAGGCTGTCCATCCTGCCAAGCCAGCCCGGGGGTGTGTGCGGGGAGCGGGAGGAGGGGACACGCGTGGGGCTGCGCGGACACAGGCTGCCACCTGCTGAGCCCGGGCAGGGAAAGACAGCCTGCAGCCCTCGGGCCGGGCGTGCGGGCAACAGCGAGGCAGGCTCTGCCCGCTGCCTCCCTTCTCCCCCAAAACAACCACCACGACCACCCAGGGTGGTTGTTTAAAGGTTAAACAAGTTTAAAGGAGTTTAAATCTGAAGAGATTTGATTGAGAGGTTCAAAAATAACTGAATTATTTAGTGACGGCTACCCATTCTTGGACAAATGAGGGGGCACTGTCTGGTATAAACTTAGTTGCCCCCCGTCCCCAAAGTACAGGAACGGGTGTTGTCCTCATGTCTTAGAGACAGACCTGGAACCCGGAGACCCTTTGAGAGCAGCCCAGATGCCGGCCGTCCCTCCCCCTGAGCTGCAGTGACAGCTGCGGTCCCCACCCAGAAGAGTGGCGGTGCCAGGGCACAGCCAGCCCCGGGAGCGACAGAGGCTGGCTCGCCACAGAGCTGACTATGCATCAGAGCAATTTCAGGAATATTGTAATACGTTCCCTGCAGCTTCAGCTATCCCAGAGGTATGTCTGGAGAGGGATCTTCATATAGTATGAAGGAAGGACCAGGAAATGACCTGGAAAGAGAACATTAATCTTCAGATACCGACAATCTGGAAAATGTATCAATCCTATTAGTGACTGTAGGATAAATATGCAGGAAATGAAACTGGATACTTCTTCCTCATCGTTTCTTGTTCACATCCCAACAACACACATACAGGTATATTCATCCTCTCCTGTGGACAACCAGTCGTATGGATATCATTGTGGGAAGATGTATGGGAGGCAGGGACAGTGACCTCCGTGTGCTGCATGCTCCCAGGGCACGGGAGGCTGAGTGCTGTCCCTCCAAGGACTGCACCTTTGGCTCTCTTCTGCCATTCCTTTCCATCACTAACTCCTCCCCTGCATTTGTTCAGGACCCTCTTTTCAGCATCCCTGGGATCACAGACATTTTTTGCTGATTACCCGCTAGGTTGCCTGCTATGGAAATAGCGCTTTGTCACAGTTGCTGGTTTATTGGGGGAGTGAGAGACCTTTGTGTAAAGCTGTGGGAAAGGGCCCTCTAGCACTCTGTCTGCATTAAAGTCTTGCTTGCAGTTTGGAAAGGAACTTGAACTAAACCCACCACAAATCTATCCAGAAAACACTGACTGCATGTTAAGGTTTGTGATTGTTCCCGTGTCCCTCGTAATTTTCAACCGCAGCTCCATACTAGAGGCTAGATACACATGGTGGGCATTTTTCCTCTTCTAGCAGTGGGATACCTGGAATGCGAGCTTCCCTTTCAAATCCAAAATCAAAGTATTGACAAACAGTAAGAGAGGAATGTGAATTTTGAGGTTGTGTCTTCCGTCAAAACAAGAAAACTGTCTAACTCCAAGGCTTTTCCCAATACAGTTCTATTCTTTTCATGAATTTGTTTGTATTTTCTTTCCTCTCCTCCATACAGCCTACAGCTCTCTTTCACTTTAATATGCTTGTCATGCTATCTGTGCAGAAATCTTTCAGACTCTTTGTACTCAGCACTTGTCTTTTCAAGAACTGGCAGCCTGCAGGATAACTTTAAAAATAATTTATTTCACATTGCAGTAATCCTGTATACTGGAGCTGTCTCGAAAGTCTCCTGCTTTCTTCTGGTGCCACACTGTAATAGTGATCTTGTTTCTGTCTTCTCGCAGGTGTTTGGTTTGCTTGCAGGACAGCAGGAGCTATTCTACAGTTTGCAGCGTGGGTGTGCAGATGGGGTGGGTGTGCACAGCAAAACAGCCTGTGGAATTTCTGAACAGACCCCTTGCTTATGTGGTCGCTTTTGATTTGCAGGGGACTGAAGTAAGATCATCCTTCTGGCCTTTTATTTCTATGTTCCTGTTCTTCTATTGCTGTTATTTTTTCAATAACAATTGTTCTGGTTTTACTATTTCAGTAACAAATGCAAGTGTTCTGCAAAGTTTCGGCTTCCTGAAGAGGGAGCTTCGCCTTTGTAATCTGCTTTTCAAAATGTGCCAAGTCATTCTTCCCTGGGTAAGCTTCTGTTTCAGTTTCCACTTGCTTTTCTGATGCTGCGTTTCCATAAATCAGGAGAGTTTCGGTTTTCTGTTTTTCAGTCATTTCTGTTGCTTTCATTTTTTCTTTTTTATTTTTTTCCCCTACCTAAAGCCGAGAAAAGAGTTATTTTACACTGCTCATGACACAACCTTGTCATTTGGGAAAAAGAGGCTGGTCATGGCAAGTGTGCAAAGTGCAGAGCATAAAGTAAAGATACCAGAACTATATTTCAGTGAGCAGCTAAGGCTGTAGCAATCATCTTGCTTATCAGCATGAGACGTCCCTTCTGAGAATGAAAGGTGAGAGCGAAAGGTGAAACAGTACTAATATAACCTGCTTGGTATGATTTTCCTGTGCAGCCCTAGTTTGAAAATGAGACCAGAAGCAGGAGGCAATGGAAAGCTAGGTGTGTTACTGTGGGTCGGCAGAACAAAATCACTTTTGGTCCCTGGTCCAGGTACTGGATCAGATAGCTCTACCCCGTGCTGCTGACTGCAGCATAGACACATATGCACTCCTTTGGAAAGCCAACTGCACGATATAATCAATCCTCTTATTTGATGCACAGTGTTCAGTTAAGAAGAAAAATTATGATGTATACTAACCACCAGAGTTAATGGCAGTCCGGTCTCAGCCTTGCAAATGTCTCCTAAGGAGAATATGACTCATTGCTCAGGGACCTTTTTTTAACCATCCTCATTATACTGAGGTTGGGGAATTCCAATGTGATGAAAGAAAAATTGCTCATTCTGTTTCACTGCCACAAATTTATGAGGTTTGTTACCTCCATTGTAAGATCTGCCTAGTTCAGTTCAGTTATACTAACTGACCCACTGAAGCCCTGAGAGGTGGAAAACCTTAGTTCCTGGTGGCCAGATCCCTCACTCTGAGAGATAAAGCCAGATGCCAAGAAAAGCCAAAGTTCAAGTCAGACACCTGCCAACATATCTTTAACCTACATTTATGCCTTCCTGGGTGGGACATGGTATAGGGAGCAGCCTGTGAGTGCTTGTGAGAGCATGGAGCTTTCCTTCCTTCCTGTCGGCTGTGCTTCTACACAACTGCAACCTAGAAAAGATGGCACAGCCTACACCACTGCCGTGCTGCTTTTCGGAAAGGCAGACATTTTATTCTGCTATATATGTGGGGCCTGGCCAAAACATGGCAATGAGCAACACACTGTTGCAGCATGTCAGATCTGTACACAGCAGACACAAGTCATTTATGCAATGCTATGCTTTCATCAGTCCATAGGTGCACAACTCTGGTGCATGGCTATTAAACCATCTGGCTACAGCAGCCTGAAGGTTCTCCTTTGAAAAGCAGCACAGCGTGGGGATTTTGGCCCTGTAGTAGTAGCAAGCTGATTGATTAGATGCTTAGAAAATGCAGAAAGGTTAGAGGCAAGAGGCTGCAAAGTGTGGTGGAAGGTTTTTCCGAGTGCTTAGCATCTATGCGGTGCTTGAGACCTGGGGAAGAGCTGTACAACCTAAATCAGGTCTGGGCTTGGCAACAAAACACACTGTATGTCCTTCAGACCTTCCATGGGTCAAGTCTATGAAAGGCTTAAAGGTTTTCCAGCTAATCTAAGTCCTGCCTTTCCTTTCAGGCTCCTGCTTAATACCACACACAGACTTCTAGCTGTTTCAAGGGCCACACACTGCCCTCCCAGGCACCTCACTTCTAGCAACGTGACCTTTCGGAGCAACCCCATGCGGCTCTGGGTGCCTGGTGTTGCCTGTGGGTTGATTGCCAGCACCTGGCACCTGCTGCCAGACCTGCCCTGCCCTTTGCACACCCTGAGGGACCAGGTGGCAGCAATTGGACCCTACCCCACACACGGGCACAGGTGGCAGCAAGCCCAGGCAGGTCTCCTCACGTTTTGGCTGAGTCTTGACACTGGCTGGAGATCCTCTCTAGGGAACTGATGGCAGAGCCAAAGAAGAAAGTCATCCTGCTTACTGTGTGATCTAGAAAAAAATCAAATCTTTCCACTGAGGTCTCCTCTTCTGTTGACAGATTTTGTAAGACTGCATAAATGGGTGTGCGAGCAGGAAAGGCCTCACTGCAAAGCAGCCAGCGCTACTGGTTCTTTGAATTTAGGAGCTGAGCCCTCTGTGCTCTGTGACAGAACAAAGGTAAGGTGTTCTTTTTCAGGAGAGTACTTTCCCTTTTTGTGCTTTACTAACCTGAGTAAAAGAAAACTTAAAGATGACATCTATAGGTTGCATGATAAGAAGGAAAGACAGAAGTCATGCACTATGTGGATTTTTTTTTTAATATCAGTGACGTTTTCATTGTATCAGTTCAACTATTCTTCCTGGTACACTTCATAAACACCAGTTTTCACTTTGAAAAATGCAACATCCCACAATTTTAATGTAAGCAAAACATTACATCTATTAAGTAATGCAGGACCATACATTTAGACTAAACCTTTTCTTCAAATAATGACTACTACTTCTTTCTTCTTGTAGTGAATCCTATAGCTGGACTCTTATATTGTACCTTTTAGTAAATAAGCCATAAAACTTTTCCTCCCAGTTCTTAATGACGAAAAAAAAAGCTAAAACTTGTTTTAAAGGAAAGATATTGCTACAAAAATCATAGTTATTCCTTGTTGATATTATAACTTCCTTGAATCAGTCAGAACTGCCAATGAAAATGGCATTTAAAAGCTTTATTTATATTATTAGAAAAATATTAATTCAGTCAGAAATAATTTTCAAATTACTCTGTGCTATGTCTCTTCCAAACTACCAGAACAGGTTTTACTTAGCTCAGCACTATCATCGTAAGAGTTTCTACCTTCCTGAGTGCAGGTTTTGCTTTGCTCAGTGTCATCACGATAAGACTGTCCCCCTTCCTGACAGCTGGAAACAGCTGCCTTCAATTTTTCCTCAATTTTATCAGCTGCAGTGCACATTTTAAACTCTCGCAGGCTGCTTATTAGGGTTGCATAGGCTCCTTTTATCCCATGTCTTTGATACCAGACTTGAAACAGCTTAATCTTCTGTTCAGATGTATCACTAACATAATCCCGAACAGTTTGATCTATGATAGGTTCTGGTACTTTGTGATTACGAACAAATGTCTTGACTTCTTGGAGTGTCATCTCTTCCACAATACCAGCAACATGGCTGCTCAGGTCAACATCTAGAAGCATAAAATGAAATTAATGCTCTTGGCACTTATATCTTACTGTTTTTTATCACCTGCACTCAGAAGTGATACTTTTCCTATCCACAGCAGATTAAGTCTCACGTATTCATGACTCAGTATGTTTTATATATGATGTTTTTACAATACATAGTGGGTCTGCTTTTACATGTTCCTGCCGAATGCTAGGTAATTCAAATATTTAGGGTTGCATCCATATTGCCTTCTACCACTTGAAATAGAATCTCAGCTCCCTCTGTAACCTATTCTGTCACTCTCTATCATTAAAGTCTGGTCATCCCTCATGTACCTGTTTTGCTCAAAACAGAGTTGGGAAAAGTCCTGGAACAGGACAGGTCTATTGTTGTGATACAGCCTTGGAGCTTATGTTCTTTTTTGCCCTTGAACATAAGGTAGGTCTGTGCTTCTGCGATTCCCACTGCTGGCTGTGGGACTACACCATTATCATTATTATCCACGATTCTAGAAATCCAGCTTGCTGCCTCCTAGTGTCTGTACCACATGCAGAACAGAAATTCACCTGTTGTCAATTAGTAATTGCTTCCTATACAACAATACGAACTGGCATTTCTTTAGTAAGTGTTCACTGTTGTGCTAGAATGACAGATCTAGGCAGTGGCAAAGTCTACACAAAAATACCCTTCTTTAGTGCTGTATTTTTTTTCTTCTACTGAATTTTGAGAAATTACTTGTCTCTTACCTATGTATATGAGAGGTACATTCTCCTGAAAAGAGAAGCGAGAGAGAAATGCGTAGAAACAAGTTTTGTAAAACACCAACGTTGTACAAGAGAATAAACACATTTTGGAACACATGACTTCTGTAATTTTCTTCTAGTTTTCTCCGCGATTCCCCTGTTTCATGAGCGAGGGAATCAGATTGGACAGACAGACCTCTTTTGACTTGGGTAAGCTTGAGGAATCCCCTCACAATTGCCATTGCCTGAAAGTATGCATGGGGACAGGTACCTTGGGTCAGTGGAGGCCTGATGATTTATGAAGTTTTGATCTTGGTCATGTAACTTAGGAAGCATGGCAACAAATTCTGAAGAAATAATACAGGGTTTCTCTTACTTCTCCCCAAAGAGCCCTCATGGTGAAATTTACTTCATTAATGTCATGGAAGGGAGGCACGCACATGCTTGGGGAGTCCCAGCATAATTTCAATGGAACAAAGTTCCTTGCATGAAGCTGAGTTTTTTGTGATCTAAGCAACAATACTTACATAAGAAACCTCTGATTTGGAGACTGCTTCACCTAGGTTCTCCTTGCTAGTAAGACCCTTCTGTCTTCTCTTGTCTGAAACAAAAAAGCATTTTTAAAATCCAGGACAGAGTATATCTCTCCTCTGGACTCCAAGAATATAAAATTACATCTGAGTAAGTAGCTGAATATCTTATTCAGAGTATGGTAGGAATAGGGAATCACTTACAGCACCATCTTGCTCCAAGTCCTGCTGTTAGTAGTAGTGCTAGTGGTAATAAAACGTACAAAGCAATGGCCCACTGTGGGTTTCCTGTTTCTGCTAGAACATTAGAAACATTACACAAAAGTTAAGTCAAGAAATGCAATACAGCAACACACTCTAAATTTTAAGCAAGGCTGTGTCAGACTGTAAAAGCCTTTCTGTTGTCTCCTAGCAGCAGAAGCTACCTCTTTGCTAAACTCTCACCTATCATGAGTCACCTCTAAAAAGGAGTAATAGCTCCTACATCTGCACAGTCATCAAGGGAAAAGAGCAATCATGCTCCACAGGTCAGTACAGGGCCCAGTAGATATGATGCCCTTAGCTGTCAGGAATCACTGTGGGCCATTGTGTAGAACAGTAAAATTGCAATAGCCTCTCAAAATACAGCAGATGCTAGACCATGCTAGGTTTTAAAATGGTACCTTCCGTTCTGCACACAGTGTCTGAAGTTGGAGTACATTGTTTTTCAATTAATCCACCTTCACATCTGCAGAAAACATGAACAAAAATCATTATGGGATTTGTTTCTGTCTTTTTATTTGCTCTGTTTACAGGGTTTATAAATCTTCTAACACTTTTTATCAGCTAAAGCTTTCATATATCAAGATGTTGGAATTTGGAATTTGATAGGTATGAAAACAGTATGGAAAGGTATGGGAGTGGAAAAAGGTGTGGAAATTATTTTCTAGATGTAACAGTAGATCACAGAAAGACAACAGGAAAGCTCAGATACTTCATTACGTTTTTTGAAAAGTATATACAGACTTGGCGGATGTATACAAGTTTTTCTGCATGCCTTTGGAAAGCCTGCATGAATGCAAGTTAAGTTGCCTGAGCTGTCAGCTCAACAAGCTAAGTGCAAAGGAAAACTAGTATGTTTTCCCTCGGGTTATACATTACCTTAGCCTCTGTCTTGAAACTGGCTGGAAAAAAGTGTGGTAACATATGACATTAACAATTTCATATTTAATGATGAAGGCATAAACTTACATGGTACATAGATAACAGTGCACACATGGAGAAGATTTGCAAAAATGGTTCTTTGCACAGATGCATTCCGTGTCCTTTGCTGGGGTACAGTTCTTTGCAACCACCAAACCTAAAATAAATTTCTTAAAGTTTGTTAGTTTGAAAAAGTAGGCCTTAAAAGCAGGCCTCTGCTCACAAGCTCTTGTCCTCAGACTTACGTGCTTTTAGCTCTACCACTGCTGGCACTGGTGAGGCTTAACTGTAGGAACAACATAGCTTTTATAAGGAGCCCTGCTGCCAGAGTACTGGAAATGCGCAGATGGCAAAGAGACCTCTGCTGGCCAAGAGCTCAAAGAACTGATCGCGCGATAAAGTACTTGCTGGAAGAGGACTCATTTGGCACTGCCGAATGTTGTCAGCTTCTTTTTCCCATTCAGAAGTGTAAAGCCAGAAGGAAACTCACAGGATCACATAACCCATCTCCCTGCTTGATGTCAGAGACAAATTCTTTTCTCTGCCTGACAGACAAGTTTATCTCTTCTTGAGGACCTCCAATGGTGAGGAATTCCACTCTCTTTTGGCTAACATATTCCCCGCTTAAGTGTCAAAACAAGTGAATTAATTTTCTCCTATCCTCAGTGTATATGATGAAGCTATCTCCATCTATGAAAAATTATTTCTGCATTAAAAATTACTTTAAGTACCTACCCACTATGAAAGCTATTTTCACAGGCATACAGAAATAGAAGCGAATTTTTGAGTTATCACATTCACTGCCCTGCTGTAACAGGAAAACTTATCTTTCAAAACTTGATGAAGCTCTACTGTGAAACCAGTGTTGAAGCCATTCATGAAAATATCAAACATGAATGATCCCAAGAATGGAACTTCAGTGGTAATTTTCCTCCTGCCTAATGTTTTCTACTGACTTCTCTTCAACTACATCATTGTCCATGGGATAATGTGACTAGTCATCCCAGTACCCTTTCTTTCCTCTTCAGTTTAACTAATACTTTCTTTCATGGCACTGTACACAATGTTGAATTGTTTTGCTGTACTCAACTTCATTACCCATCCAAAACTGCTTATTATAGTAGCTAATGAGAGGAAAACTTTCTATGCGTATGGAGGTGTTACAGTAAGGGGAAAGCACTAAAGACTGATATTCCAGCAGGTGATCTGAGTACAACCGTATTGGCGTTAAGAGCTGACTCTCCGCTCACCAGACTCGATTTTGGATACAAGGAATGTAGAACTATCATTCCCTAAATCCAGGCATACTAGAACTAAAGGACACCTGGTGGAACTGGTAGGAGATCAGTTTAATGGATTTTTTTTTTTAAAAAAAAAAAATCTATGATGGATATTTATGCAACAGGTAGTGAATTTCTGGAACCTCGTGTCCCCCAGCAGGTTCACGCACAAAGGGCTCATAAATGGATGCTAACATGACTAGGTAGGGATGGACCTTCTAATGTCCTTTCCCACAACTGTGGATGCTGGTAGAGTTTGCAGGGAACAGACCACAGAAAGTAGACAGGTTTGTTTGTGTTTTCTCTAAATAGCATCTCTTGCCTCCACTGCTGAACGCAGAATACTGGGGTAGGTGGACCACTGGTATGACCCAGTAAGACATGCCTCATAGTCTCATGATTTGATCCTATAACCCACACAGCATCTTGAACGTATAAAAGACATCACTCTATCAGCTCCAGCAATTTTAAATAATATTATTAATTACATGAAAGACTACAAAAGAAACCATTGGGAATCCTCCCATCCCTGCTTCTTACAAGACCTCTCTTAAATAGAGGGCGAAGAAGAGAGAGAGCGCGCTTTTCCTCCTTGACTCTAACCAGTTTGTATAGGGTCTGTTTTGCAAGGAATGCTTTGGCTGAGCAAAGGCAGATATAAGGAGAAACAATGGACCAACATAGCTTGTTCTTCTTCCTACTTTGTGCCTGACGAAAGGGAACTGGGGGATAAACTTATGACTTCGTGTACTACCACTAAAACATTTTAATCTGCATGCTATCCACTACTCAGGGATTGTGGAGACTTTTCAGTCACACCATGTATCAAAAAAGATAGAGTTGCTATTTCTATAGATGTACCGAATACGCTGTCACAGGAACGGCATCTCAAACACTTGTCCAAATCATTGATAGACTCCATGTACTCCTTTCCATTTTCACATGGAGCACAGTGTTTGCGAATATCTGTTGGGCACTCGATATTTTTAACAAAACCTGTGGAGACAGAAAAACAAGAATTAAGATTTGCAATACCTTTGGACAGAAGCCATCAGCTCTAAGACCTATGTCAGACTTTCTTTTTAATCCCCAATACTTTTTGATTTACAAATATGGACAGAATCTATATTCTTTATGCATACGCTCTTCAGGAATGTAGTATACATAAGATCTGATCATCCCCCCTCTTCCTCCAGTTTAGGACTGAAGGAGGGCACACCAAACAAAACTGTACATGCAAAATTGGAAAACCCATGAATATATGGAGTCTTGTAGGCAAAAGCCTGTGCTTGTACTTTTTTAACCACTTTCAAAGATGTGTATGTAATTCTTAGCTCTTTTGTGACAAGCATGTTATGTTAGAACTACTATCTGTAGTGAAAAGTTATTGGTGCACTTGAGCTCAAGAAATACTTTTGAAGCATCTGATGTCCTGTAATAGAGACAGATACAGCTAGAATGAAGCACTGCATCCAGGAAACCACAGCATGCTGCTTAGCTATCCCAGCAGAAACCAGTTGTGCATGTTGTTGTTTCCACTCTTAATGACTTTTCAACACAGTCTTATAGTGATACTCACCACGTGCACATTTCTTGCAACACTTAACACCTAATGTGTATTCATCCTGGTTACACTTAAGTTCCCTCTTAGCAAGGGTCCTCCTTGTAATTAATTTATTGTATGCTGTGTGTATTATAGCTTCAGTATCATTTTTGCAGTGTGTTTCAATAATTAAGATAACCACCTAGGAGAGAAGAACAGCAAGTTATACAAAAAAAACTGTCAAGGACTGTAGGTGTGTTTTACTACTAGCACAGAGTTACATCAGTATGGTTACTCTGTTGCTAAACGCATTGATATTCACCCCGTCGTTAAAGTTGTCCATTAACTTCAGAAGAGTTAATGGACAATGAGGACACATATTAGATTTAATGCTATTAACCCTACCACTACAAGTACTGATAATTTGAACATTAATGCTGGAGAACAGGCCCATGCATCTGAGTTGTAACAGATGACCTCATATGCCTAATTATAATGCAAAGCAAAGGAGCTCCCACTACTTTCTTGAAGAGCTCTCTCTGCCTCAGATCACTGTGCCTAAATCTGCCCTTTCTTAGCCAGTAATAATAATGTTCCATAGAGAACTTCCTTAATTCGAAGGATATCTTTCTTAATTTCTTGCCACCCTACTGTTGCTTGCAAACTGAACAGCACTAATGCATTTCTGAAGAAAGCACTGTGAACCCAGAGGCCAAGCCATTCTTTTTTTTTATTTTGGGAGCAAGGCGGGAAAATGAGAAGGATAGATCTGCTATAGGTTGCCTTCCTCTTGGCAATGGTTTGTGTGGAATTCTGTATATAATTTGCATGCACTAAGTATGAGATGTCTCTATAATGGAGCAATGTAATGCTTGTTGGCAGGAGAACTAGATTCCCTCCTAGAAATATTATTATGCAGGACAGCCTGCCTTCACTTAAACCAGTTTCTGCTGATAGTTTGGAGTGATTTGAACATTTTCATCATTTATTTTACTTGTATATTACTATCTGTGTGGAGCTGTAACAGAAAAAAATTAAGACAGTCCTTGTCTTGAGTCTTGCAGAGTTTGAAGTCTTAACATCTAAGCTGAGCTATACATTTACTCTTCTTGCTGTTCTTTAATTAAAAAAAAAAATTGTTTCATATTTTACAAAAGACTCGGAGATACACGCTGTGAGGGATACTGAGGAAGGGGGAAAAAATGATGCTTGGGAAGAAACAGAGCAATGCTATTGATGGAATGATGGAAATGATGAATGATGGAATGATGGAATGATGGAAAGGCTGTGGATGTCATCTACCTCGACTTTAGC